TCCCGCCCGAGACTTTCTCGCATTTTATTCAAGAATCGCGCTCTCGCTTTGGACTTCCTTACGATTTATTCAGGAATCGCTCCTCCTGCGCTCTGGAGTCGCGCTCTCGCTGGAGACTTGCTTGCAATTTACTGAAGAATAGCGCCCTTGCGTTGGAATTGCTTGCAATTTACTCCAGCGCCGCGCTCCCGACACCCAGGCACCCAGGAGTCGCGCTCACGTTTAGGACTCCTTCACATATTACCCAGGAATCGGGATCTCGTTGCCCCTTCGTGTCTCCTTTGCAGCCCTTCGTGGCCACCTCGCTTTCTTTCGGTGGCCCCTGCTAGCAGCCCTTCGTGGCCCCCTCCTTTGTTTCGTGGCCCCGTTGCTGCCCTTCGTGGCCTTCCTCGTTGCCCTTCGTGGCCCCGTTGCGCCCTTCGTGGCCCCTTCGCTGCCCTTCGTGGCCCCGTTGCAGCCCTTCGTGGTCCTCTCGCTTTGTTTCGTGGCCCCATATATGTATGCCCTTCGTGGCCCCCGCTCGTTCGCGCCCGTCTTGGCCCCATATGCATGCCCTTCGTGGCCCCGCTGTCGCAGTTCGTGGCCCCCTCGCTGCCCTTCGTGTCGCCGTTGCTGCCCTCAGTGGCCCCGTCATTATTCTCCGCGGCCCAACATACGTATGCCCTTCGTGGCCTCCGCTCGTTCGCGCCCCTTGTGGCCCCGTGTGCATGCCCTTCGTGGCCCCGCAGTCGCCGTTTGTGGCCCCCTCATTGTCCTACGTGGCCCAGGTGCTACCCTCAGTGGCCCCATCGTTGCCTTCCGTGGCCCCGCAGTATTTGCCCTTCGTGGCCCCGGCTCGTTCGCGCTCTTCGTGGCCCCATACCCATTTCCCTTCGTGTCCCTGCCGTCGCCCTTCGTGGCCTACTTCGTGTCCTTCGTGGCTCTGCTGTCGTTCTCTCTCGCTCTCGCTTCCGCTCGTCGTCGTCGTCGCCGTCGCCGTCGTTGCCGTCGTCGTCGACGTCGTCGTTGTCGTCGTCGTCGTCGTCGTGGTCGGTCCCTTGTCCGTCCCTCTTGGGGTCGGTCGACGGTCCCGCGGCCGCCGCCGATTCAGCGCTGCCACTTGCCAGGCCGACGGTCCGCTGCCGCCCCGCGCTTGCCGGGCCCGCCTGCGGGAAGAAGGTATACCCCCCAAAAGGGGTTCGATCGAAGACGAAAAGCGCGGGTATCGAGGGTTTGGGGAAATTCGCGTATTCGACACTCGAGCAGATAAAGGGCGAACAGTCTTAAAATATTGTTTGTTGTTGTTGCTTGCCTGCCTGCTGTTGTTTTTGTTGTTGTTGTTGTTGTTGTTGTTGTTGTTGTTGTTGTCCGTTTTTGCTCAGCGGATGCCTTTGGCGAGTCAGGATCAGAGTTCGAACCTTCCTTCCCCCCCCTCTCCCTCAGCCCCTTCTTCCCTCTCCCTCCTCTCTCCCCCCCTCCCTCCCTCCCTCCCTCCCCTCCTCCCCCCCTCTCTCCCTCCCTCTCCCTCCTCTCTCCTGCTCGGCCCCCCGCCGCCCTGGGCAAGAGGAGTGGGGGGGAGCGGCAGCCAGCTGGCCGGCGCGCGAGGAGCGGACCCCGGCGCAGGGACGACGTCCCCCATGCAGACGCCGCCCTCTCCGGGCTCGGTCGCGCCCTCTGCGCAGCTCGTGGTGGCAGCGGGGAGGGGGCGGGGAGCTGAGGAGGGAGGAGGTGAAGGAAAAGGGGGAGGAGGTGAAGGAGGAGGAGGAGGAGGAGGAGGAGGCGTAGGAGGAGGACCAGAGCACACCAGAAATGAATGACCAGAGTACACCATCCCGTCCCAAGTCCTTTTCACGCGCCCCTGCAAGCTCTGATTCTCACTACAAGAAGCGCCGCCTGTGAAAGACCGGCGCACTTGGGTCTGCCATTCTGGCGAGGGCCCTGCTTTGAAAAGGAATCGCCTGGTATCTTCATTCGTGGCGAAGAATCAGGAACACGAGAAGCATCATACAGGTCAACGGGATGCCAGCGAGATTTCCCTCTCGAAGAAGGGCCGCTCCCCCCATCCGTGTAAGGTTTTCACAAGTTTACAGTTGTGGTCATGAACTTCGACGACGTCCCGAGCGATATTTCCATTTTAAATTATCCCAGAGCGACCCTACCTAGGAGTTGGAGCCCCGAGGAGAGCAATATTTGTAGTAACGGTAAACGCCGTCCTCCTCCTTCTCCTCATCGTCGCAGTTGTAGCAGTAGCGTAGTAGTAGTAGTAGTAGTAGTAGTAGTAGTAGTAGTAGTAGTAGTAGTAGTAGTAGTAGTAGTATTAGTAGTAAGTAGTAGTAGTAGTAGTAGTAGTAGTAGTGTAGTAGTAGTAGTAGTAGTAGTAGTAGTAGTAGTAGTAGTAGTAGTAGTAGTAGTAGTAGTAGTAGTAGTAGTAGTAGTAGTAGTAGTAGTAATAGTACAGCTTAATACCTACATCTACATCTAGACCTACATCCACATCTACACCTACAGCTACATCTACATGTACACATGCATCTACATCTACATCTACATCTACATCTACATCTACATCTACATCTACATCTACATCTACATCTACATCTCTACATCTACATCTACATCTACATCTACATCTACATCTACATCTACATCTACATCTACATCTACATCTACATCTACATCTACATTTACATCTACATCTGCATCTGCATCTACATCTACAACTACACTCACATCTACATCTACATCTAAACCTACATCTACACCTACGTGTACATCTACATCTACATCTACACCTACATCCACATCTACACCTACACCTACATGTAAATCTACATCTACACATTCGCATTGGTTTTGCTTTTGCTTTGCATTGCCTTTGTTATAGCTCTTGCCTTTGCTTTTGCCTTTGCCTTTGCTTTTGCTTTGCTTTTGCTTTTGCTTTGCTTTGCTTTGCGTTGCGTGTGCTTTGTTTTGCCGTTGCTGCTGTTGCTTTGCCTTTGCTTTGATGCTATGCTATGCTATGCTATGCTATGCTGCGCTATGCTATGCTATGCTATGCTATGCTGCGCTATGCTGTGCTATGCTATGCTATGCTAGGGTATGCTAGGCTGCGCTATGTTATGCTAGACTATGCTATGCTATGCTATGATGCGCTATGCTATGCTATGCTATGCTATGCTATGCTATGCTGCGTTATGCTATGCTATGCTGCGCTGTGCTATGCTATGCTAGGCTATGCTATGATATGCTATGCTGCGCTATGCTATGCTATGCTGTGCCATGCTGCGCTATGATATGCTATGATATGCTATGCTATGCTGCGCTATGCTATACTATGCTATGCTATGCTATGCTATGATATGCTGCGCTATGCTATGCTATGCTATGCTATGCTATGCTGTGCTGCGCTGTGCTATGCTAAGCTAAGCTATACTATGCTATGCTATGCTGCGCGATGCTATGCTATGATATGCTATGCTATGCTGCGCTATGCTATGCTGCGCTACGCTACGCTATGCTATGGTATGCTATGCTATGCTATTGCTGCGCTCAGCTAAGCTAAGCTGCGCCAAGCTGAGCTAAGCTAAGCTAGGCTAGGCTAAGCTAAGCTAAGCTAAGCTCAGCATCGGATAAGCTAAGCTAAGTTGAACTGGGCTAGGCTAAGCTAAGCTAAGCTAAGCTAAATTAAGCTAGGCTAAACTAAGATGAGATAAGCAACGCTAAGCTAAGGGGGCGTAGCTGGGGGAACCGCGGGGCGGATACTGGGGGAACCGCCCGGGGCGTGTTCCACTGCCCGGCCCTTTAAGCACACCGAGTAAGAACCCTTCTAGGCAGAGCTCAGGTAGGGAAAAAGTGCCGCGGTGGATCCGTGCGGCGCTACGTGTGCTGAAGTTGGAGGTGCGTAAACAGAATGAAGTTTCGGGCAGGAACTGCATTCAAACAAGATTCGTCTTCCATCTAGGAAACTTTGCAAGAATCACTGGACGCGCGCGCAGAGGCGATAGTCCCATTTTGAGATGGACTAGCGCTGAATTGTGGAAGCGGTTGCAGTATTCGGATATTTTTCTGCGGCGCTGAGGCGAGAGCCTCACTTTGAAAAGGAACCGCCTTCATCCGTAAAGCACGTGCTAAGTTTCAACAGGCATGTGTGCGGCGTTGCGTCGAGAACCCCATTTTGAAGGCGAGCCGCCCTTCTATCTTTGAAATTGCTGCATAGTGATCGTTTTCCATCCTTGAAGCCGCTGCGAATTTGTAACACGAGTGCTCCAGGCATCTAGGCGAGAACAACACTTTGAGTAATAATCGCCCTCCCTCCTTGAAGCTGTAAGACTGATGCGCGCGGGGCCAAGGCGAGAGCCACCTTTTGAACAAATACTCAAACAACGCCCTCCGTCCGTCAAGCTGTTCCAAACTTTTCAGATGAATGTCCTCGGCGTTGAGGCGTGAGTAATTTGGAAAAACAGCCGCCCCCATCCTTGAACTAGTTTCAATGTCTGAAAGGCGAAGTGCGAGGCTCTATGGCAAGAGCCACACTTTGACCCCCCCCATCCGTGAAGATGCTGCGCAGTGTTGAGCTGAATGTGCGCGTCGCTGGGGCGAGAGCTGCATTTTGAAAGCAACCGCCCTCCATCCCGGAAGCTCTTGCGAGCTCTTACGACGAATGTGTCCGGCGCTACTCCGAGAACGATATTTTGAAAACCGTCCCCCTCCGTCTGGGAAGCTGTCGCAATTCCCAAGCTTCAGGGCCATAAGTGGTGAGGGAGTCTCAGGCGGCTCGGCCCGCCCGTCCGACACGCCTGGGAGCCCGACAGGGACGAGTTGTGGAAGAGGGGGGGAGGAGGGAAAGGAGGGAGGAGGAAGAGGGAGAGGAGGAGGAAGAGGAGGGAAGAGGAGGGAGGTGGAGGCGGGATGAGGATGAGGATGGGTTTGAGGATTCGGAGGAGGATGAGGATGAGGATGATGATGATGCGGATGAGGATGAGGATGAGAATGAGGATGAGGATGATGATCATGATGATGATGATGGTGATGATGATGCTGCTCATGGTGATTACGTTGATGATGATGGATGGTAGTGCTGGTGATGATGATGATGCCGAGAATGATGATGATTATGATGACCATCATGGGCGATGATAACGACGATTATGATAATCATGTTGATGCTGCTGATGATGTTGATGATGATGATGGTGGTGGTGGTGATGATGCGGATGATGCTGCTGCTGCTGATGATGGTGATGTTGATGATGGTGATGATGCTGATGACGATAATGATGAAGATAATGATGATGATTATGATGATGATGCTGCTGATGATGATGATTATGATGATTATCATGATGATGATGCTGATGCTGATGCTGATGATGATGGTGATGATGATGATGATACTGATGCTGATGCTGATGCTGATGGTGATGATGATGATGATGATGATGGTGATGATGATGATGATGATGATGATGATGATGATGATGATGATGATGATGATGATGATGATTGTGGTGGTGGTGGTGATGGTGGTGGTGGTGATGATGCTGAGGAGGAGGAGAGGAGGAGGAGGAGGAGGAGGAGGAGGAGGAGGAGGAGGGAGGAGGAGGAGGAGGAGGAGGAGGAGGAGGAAGGAGGAGGAGGAGGAGGAGGAGGAGGAGGCTGAGGAGGAGGCAGGAAGAGGACAAGGAGGCGTGGGAGCTTTGGACCGCTGCAGGCTAGGCTCCCGAAAGGACTAACAAACAGGAACATATATAAGTTATAAGAACTGGAAAGCCAACGCTGCAAACCCTTGCGCGCACATTAGATATCCGAGTGTGGGTTCCTTGGTGGTTTCGGGGGTACCCTTCGGCAGTGAGACGAAGGGAACCAGAACCGGAACCAGAACTGGAACGAAAGCCGGAACCAAAACACGAACCAAAGAGCGCCCAAAGAAGACAAACCCGAGCCGGAACCAGAACCATAACCAGAACCGCGAGAACTTGTGGCACCTAGGAAAAATGAAACCGGAACCAGAACCAGAACTGGAGCTGGAACCAAAACCGTGACCTGTGAAGTCTTCTCCCGGGCCGGAACTTGGGGTGTCTTCTTCCGGGCCAGCAGAACAAGGAAATTGGGACCATGACCGGAACCGGAACCAAAACCGTGACCAGGGCGGTCCTTCGGGGCCAGAAGAAGACGAAGAAGAAGAAAACGAAGAAGAAGGAAGCCGGTACCGTCACCAGAACCGGAACCAAATTTGTAACCTGGGGAGTCTTCTTCCTGGCCAGAAGAAGAAAGAAACCCAAACCGGAACCAGAACCAGAACCAAAACCGTGACGAAAGGGGTCTTCTTCGGGGCCAGAAAAAGAAGGAAACCCTAACTAGAACTGGAACCATAACCGAAACAGTGTTTTGGGGGGGTCTTCTCCCGGGCCAGAGAAAGAAGAAGGAAACGCAAATTGGATCCCGAACCGGAATCAGAACCGTGAGCACGGGGGCATTCTTGGGGCCGGCAGAATCAAGAAGGTGGAAACCCAAACCGGAGCCGGAACCGGAACCAGAACCGTGGTTCCTGGGGTCTTCTTTGAGCCCAGAAGGAAGAAGACGGAACCGGAACCAGAACCAGAACCGTGACCGTTGAGTATTGGGTGGTTTGTTGTACGCGAAGGCTGTGGAGTACCTGGGTGCTGTGTCGGACACGGAGGGAGCTGAG